GATTGCACCGTTACATGATCCCATTAAGGTTACAATATAAAACTTGTTTTTATGTATTCTACCTAATATTAATTTTTGATTTAGTCAACAGAGTTTCAAATTTCAAAATTAATTATTGTTCGAATCACCCATAAGGACTTTCAAGTTTAATAACGAGTATTTATGCAAGGTTTAATTAATTACACATTTAAGAGCCTTAATTTTACCTACATTATTTTAATACTTTCTTAGATTTACGCGAATATTTGACATATTAAATAAAACTATATTTTCGGATTATTTCGCGGATTTATTTTGATTTTTGGTTCCCGACGTTTCGAACGCTTTACAGCAATAACGGTTAGGGGAGTCTCTTCCGTGATCTGCGAAAAGATAGTTTTATTTACATTATTTTGTTAATTGTATATTATCACTAATTTTAAAAATGCGAATGTTTGTTTGTTTGTTTGCTTGTTTGTTTGTAAGGGAGTGAGGGGCGTGAGTTTCTTTTTATCGACGAAAGCATCACACGAGCGAAACTGTTTATAAATACTACAATAAAATAGAATAATAATTATTTTACACACTTTCTATGCGTAATGTTTACCATTATCATTAGCAGAGTATTCATGTAATAAAATTATATAACAAATTATTTATTTATGTTGAACATTATAATTTATATTTTTATGTTACAAGCCTCTTTATAAAACTTTGTTTATAACTACTTTGTTTTCTTCATAAATTATAATAAATGAATAGATAATTTATAACAAAAGATACACTAGCGCTTCAGAATGACTTTTGAAGTGTAGTAATTTTTTTTTTAATTTTATAGTGACCTATTCACTATAAAAAGAAATATGAAAATCGATTCTCAATATACACAAAAACAGCTGAAGGTGTACCTTTTAGAACTGGGGCATCCGAAAGATCTTATTATGATTTATGAGAGCGCCGATAAGATTACTTGCTGAAAGTAATGGAGTTTTATTATATTATCTTCAATTCAATTCTTTGTTTTGTGGCTTTTAGACATAGCATCTAGTTTATAACACTAAGATTTAAAATTACTAGTGTTCGTCTAGTGGTTGAAATTAGACCGTAGTCGTTATATTAAAAAAAAACTAACTGTTATAAAAATTGTTTTGTTGACAACACTTATGCCCGATTTCACCAACAACCCATAAGCTACCACCTACGTATGGGATCTCTACTTAAAAGTCCCCTAAACTAGCCTCTAAATTAAATTTCGTTTTACGATCGTCTTTAAGCCCATATTTCGAGCACCTAAATTTGGGGGGCCTTTTAATATTTAGGTGACCCCAAACTGTCGGCGAAACAGAAACTTTCCCCTGACAGCCCCCTAACTATGCTTAGGGGATCCCTTAAACTTAGGTGACGTTGGTGAAATCGGGCATAAAACGTGATCATGTACCAGTTAATAAAATTTTATTTAAAATGTAGCCAAAATGGCAAGCTCTTCAAGGTAATCGGGAAGCTTAATCATTTTACACAGGTGGCTTAACTGCGGTTATTGTCAGGTAGCCTTGGCTATTGATGACCGTCGTACTGTGGAATGTTATATGTACCAGATTTTATAAGGCACTTGTTTTCAGTGGTATATCGCGGCTTTGATTCTCGCGCAGAGTAATTTTTTTGTCATAACTATAAATATACTCGTCAGTTTCTTACGATGATAAACGGTGTTAAAAACCCCTACCCACTACTGAAAGTGTACAATGTATCTTTTTTGTAATGAACTTTTATTAGGAACTTTTAAGCTAATGAAATTAGCACATTAGTGGTTGTGGTATGGTTTTAGACAATGAGTCTAAATAAAAAAAACATATACATTAAATTGTATATTTATCAATTTTAATTTTGAAGTTGGTACATATATACTTAAAACTATAGCAATTAAAATTATCTTCGATGTCGCCGGCGTAAGATGGAATATTGTGTTCAGTAATTATTATCAGCATAGTTGTCGAACTGTTGTTTGGATATTGCAGCTAATATGGAGTGTTTTTAGATTTGGTAGATAAAAGTTTACAAATAAAACTATGCGTCATATAAATATCATTGTTTCTGCCGTATCTACGGAATCAAAACAGCCGTTCGTTATCACATTTATACCCCAGACAAAATCGATACTTTGAAGATGTTTTATTTTATACTTGATCATTCTAAAAGATTTACATAATGTATTTTGCTTACTCTATTTAAAATCTTTGTAAACGCTATTTGTTATTTAATTTAACCCCATTATACGAATATGATGGCTAAAACATCACAAATAAATAGATATATAAATAGGCAAAGAAAAACTGTTCAGTACATTTTTCCCCTTTGTTTGTCAATCGATTTTCTGTAATTTTTTTTGTTTAGTAGCTATTGACAAACTTTAGTGTCATCACTACGTAAGAAGTTACACTTCTTTGACGTAACGGAACAAAAACAGCTAAAGATTTCATACCGTATGTCACAACTCCTGTTTGTAAAAGGAATGCAGCTAACTTCATCATGACGCTTTCAGCTAACTTCATCATGTCGCTTTTTGGCTGTCGGTGTGTGCGCGCATCTTAAAAATTGTACCCTCATTATTTTTTTCAAATGAGCCAAAAGAAGTATAACTTCAAACATTTTTAGTGGTAATGTTTGGTCGAATTTTGGTCATTTGGTTAACACTAGTATAAAATTAAAGTAACATAAATAAGTAGTTAAGTACGAAAGAAATATGATGTTTTAACGGTCTTAAAATACTGAGGAGTCGATATTGCAGTGATCAATCTGACCAATGCAACGACATGCGCAGTCAAACAAAAGTTGCACAGACCGGATGGACGGTCGCCAGACGAACTGTAAAAAACGCATCAAGTTTGACATCAACATTAAAATGTTAAATGAAACGATAGAATTGCTCTTGATTGCTTAAAATATATTGTTTATTTAATACTTTGTTATTGTATTTTAGTAGATTCAGAATTTTTAAGCTCTTTATTTTAAGCTTTTAGCTAACAAAAGCTCTTTAGAGCTTATATGTTTTTTTTTGGTTTTATTATTTTACTGTCATATCCTTCAAGCTATACCAAGCTTAAAGCTTAGTAAATTCAGATAAATAATTTACTTTCTGTAGCTTTACGCTTCAGCTTCAAAACCATTCATAAAATCAATATTTATTTGTTAGTCATAAATAAAGTACGTTATACTTAAAGGTTGTGTAACAATAATTACAGCATTATAATTTCTCATGATGGCTAAGATATGCGCTCACCGAATTCTACACATAATATGTTATTAGCATAACTTTCGATTACATTTGCTCTAATGCATGCAAGAGAATTGAATTTTTTTGTAACAAGACGCTTCCGCGATCTAAGATAAGGTGTTTTTCCCAGGTTATACTAATCTAATTGTATTGCAAACGTCGAAAACAATGCAATCGTTGTATAGAAGCAAGGCCTTTAGTTAATATTTTCTTTATATGGTACAAAGAAGTACTCTAGTTTGTGTAAGACTTACATTTTCTCATTCATTTATTGTTTTGTAATGTTCGATTTGGAAATTACCAAAATTGAAATTGAGTAATACAAAATCTGCAGACTGCAGCATCTTTACAAATATAATGATGCAATAATTAAAGTGAAACAGGTTATGAATAAGCTTTGGGTATATACTTAAAATTGGTTTCTTTAAAGATCGCACCAAATCTTCGAAGAATGGTAAATGTGTTATTTATTTATTTCGTCTTACAAGAAATGAAGTTTGGATATTGATTAAGATTTCTGAAACTATATATATATATGCAAAAGTTTTAAATAAAACTATGTTTTCGGATTATTTGGCGGATTTATTTTGATTTTTGGTTTCCGACGTTTCGAATGCTTTACAGCAATCATTGTCACGGGAGAGACTGAGGTTATAGACGTCTCAAAGGCATTATATACTTGTTACAGACAGTGCTTACCCAACAATAATATTCATACAGTAGTAAAAAGTCTATAATGCCTAAAGCATTCGAAACGTCGGGAACCAAAAATCTAAATAAATCTGCGAAATAATCCGAAAAGATGGTTTTATTTAAAAAATCAAATATTCGTGTCATCTAAGAAAGCATTATGCAAAAGTTTATTTATATCACTAAAGCTATATATAGATCTCATATTAAATCTCTCCAAATGGAAACCTTACGAACCATGTAATTTATACAGAAATTTATCATTTTTTAATCAACTTTACGTTAAAGGTCGTCTCAAAGATTGACGTAAATACGATACTCAGAATTCTACGGTCTTGTGACGTCATTTCATTATATGGAGAGATCGAGTCTAAAAGTTTTTATTATTCTGTAAATCGTTATATTATATTGACTGATATTTTTTTTGAATATTTAAAAAAGCGAAAAGGTTTAAGGAATATTTGAGATTTCTTCTTTAACTACTGATTTTGACGTCATAACTTATAATTTCTAAGTCCTACGTAATGTTTATGTATGGTAATATTTATATACGACTTGGCATTTCTAGCAGAGTACTCCCTAGGGTTAGGGCGCATGCGGGAAACGGGGCTACCCTCCGAAAGCAATATGGCGACGAGCGCCACGAGCTAAGCACGCGCCTTCTATTTACATCGCTTTGCGCTAAATATATTTTTTGTGGCAATCTATCCAATAGAACAATTATTTGTTTACGTTAGCCAGTTTCTGCTTTTGTACGTAAAGTGGTTTAAGTTAATTTGAAACCGTTCTTGTGTTCTGACGCAGTGCGATCATATGTGCTGTAGACTAATAAATCATAGGTCAATGTCGTCGAGCGTTGTTTAGATACGTCATTTTCGCGCTTAACGTAGCGTGCGTTCTACAAACAATCGCTATTTCATTTACGCGAATCAATTTGAGGAGAAAATTTTGTTTAACGCTCTGATTGCTAATGTTAATATAATTTCTGCGCAAATAATTGGGAGTGCCTTATACTTGACTGAAAAAATAGTGTGAATTTTGACGTCTAAACGTATGGTCAAAGAAGATATAAGAAACAAAAGCGCACCGCCTTTTTTCCTGCCAAGTAATAAATATCAGTCAAGCTGCGTCGTTCGAGGGTTTCCCCAGCATCATTTCTGTTCGGCGCACGGCCGGTCTCCGGGCTGGTCGAGCCGGTCAGGAGTCCTGAGGAGCCAGCATTGGATGTTGCACAAGATAAATCCTTCTGGGGCAGCGTTGCAACCGCCATGACAAGTAAAATTTTATTATTAAACAAACTATTAGAGTTCCCACGACCGCTTTGTTGAACTTTGTGATATTAAATATCCTTCGAGTTCTATACTTTCTTGTTACCATATTAAAGCCTTTCTTTAAAGTGCTTAATTATTTTAATTATACTCATTTTGTGTAAGTAGTTGTCGCCTTCCATTAAATTTATAACAAGGTAATTAAAATCTTAATTTATGACTAATTTGCTTTTTCGTTATCTATTCAAGCTACTATAAAACATGGTAATTTATTGTATAATTCATACATTATAGGTAGCGTGTGAGCCCTTTCACCCACTTTATACCTCCAACTAAATACCCTACTATCAAATCGATTAAATTGAGTCATCAACAGCTGCTGACGCTTGTGTGTAGATGACTTAATAAAAGGTTTTCTCGTTTCCTTAATCATCAAAAATATGAACAGAGATTGTACGTAATACGTATAATATAATAGCATATTATAAGATAATTTAAATATGATCTTATATATCAACATTAACTCGACATTAGAGCGGTAATACTCGTAGCTTATTTCATATTGTGTGTTATAAAAAAAGTGAAACTGTTTACTTTTAGTTGCGATGTGATGTGAGTGTAATCATTAAATTAATGAATTCAACTCATTAAAATATAGCAAGTTAATACTCAATCTTGCATTTTTATGTAAGTAAAAATCTTTTTATTTATATCTTGACTAGCATTGCCCGCGGCTCCGCTCGCGTTCAAATAAGAAAAACCTAATTCTTAGGTTTTACATATTAGTGTACTCTTACATTGAAGTTTTTGTATTTTTTCTCAGAAATTAGATATTTTCTCGTGGTAAAAAGTATCCTATATGTTGATCCGGATAACCAGCTATCACCATACTAAATTTCATCAAAATCCCTCCAGTGGTTTTTCCGTGATGCGGTAACAGACAGACAGACAGACAGAAAGACAGACAGACAAAAATTCTAAAAACTATAAAACTAAACTATAAAGAAACTATAAAGTTTATTTCAATAAAATTTTCAAAAAAATATTTAATGTACAGTTTCGGTTTAGTTACGATTTTATTATATGTTTAGATGATTTAAATAATTTATTTTTACGTGCTAGAGTTTGTTCATGTGTTTTATAAACAACGTGCAGAATAAAATGCCGAAAAAAATCTTAAACGATTAAGTACAGAAGTATAGACGCAATTTACAATTAGTGCTTTAAATATAATTAAAAAGTTGATAGTTTCATTCTAGCAAAGTTTACAGTTTGAATATTAGCGTCGCTCTTGTTTACTGAGCTGCTTCGCTAATCGCTACTTGTACTGTGGTGAAACACATTAGGGACGTGACTGATCCATTTGTTCTTTACACCATGGCCTTAAATAACTTTGTTGAATAACTGGTTGAAGGTTGTGAAAATGTCTACTTTCTCTTATAGTGAAATTTTTATAATAAATAAAATAAATATGTTGGGATATTAACACACAGCACCATCTAGTTCCATGGTAAGCTACGAGACTTGTGTTATGGATTTTGATAATATTTACCTTACAACATTTATTTAAGGAACATTATCTCGAAATTTACTATGAAATTTTCAAGTATAAAATACGTACACGACCTCTCTTACTCATATCATATGAGTAAGAGAGGTCGTGTACGAGTACGATATGAGTCATATGTATAGAACAGTGCAGGTTTATTTATGATTGCGGTGGGAATTTCCACCTCCCGCATACAGCCTGCAGCGCGAAAACCCGCGAAGCGGAAGCACGGGTGTCGTAATTGGGTTAAAGTAGCGAAGCAAATGTTAAAAGGCAAAAAGTATAGCTATAATCCTATTTATAATATATTTTTTTAATATTAATGAGCAATTTACATAATGTTTAAGTAATTAATTCAGTCTGTCGAAGCCTCTCAGATTATAAAAGTTGTATCATATTAGAATTATTTATGGAAATTATTAAGTAAAGTATTCACACTACTAATATAAAGCTTGTATACATTTCTATGTTTCTTTAACTAATTTATGCGAAAAGGTTAGACCTAATCGCATGAAATTTAGTACATAGATAGATTATAACCTGGAGTAATATGCTTCTATTATTAATGAAATTTTTCAAATTGTGACGCTCCTTATATACTATACTAGCGGCTTACCCTTGCTTCGCTCGGATGCGTTCCTAGGTACGCGGATTTTGTTCGCAATTTCATGGGTTACAATTTTTTTGCGCGAAATCCTAATCCTTTTTCTTAAGTAAATGTAGCTTAAGTCACTCCTTATAACATCAGCTATCTGCCAGTGAATGTCCCGTCAAAATCGGTCCAGCCTTTCGGACATAAGCCGGAACAGACAAAAAAAAATTAAATTGTTTTTTTTTTTAATTACATGTACCGTATATACTTTTATATTTATGTCATGTTGTCATTACAAGCAGATACTTCAATTTTATTTATCTGTATAGATTATTAACTAGAAATGTACTCGTGGGAAGCGAGGGTATGTCGCTTGTTTAACTATAATCAAAGTAACTGGCTTCAAAAGTTATAAATGTCAGGGTCCGGCTTAATTTGCGTCAGCCGTCAGCACTAAGCTATCCTTTAGGTACAAAAATAGCGTCGAGTCGACCTTTAACACGTCAACTTTCTTGTATTATATAATATAGTGATAATTGCGAAATCTTATCGCAGAATATTGAGCGAAAACGTTTTTAATTTTTTTTACTTATTTTTTGTAAGAATATATTATGAAGACTAAGTAGGGTGACAAGGTAGTTACGATGTGTGGTGTATTTGTGATGTCTAACGTTTGCTCTGGGAATCGAACCGTGAACCGTTTTAAGCAGAACTACTGTTGCCGTTAAGATAGACTTAATAAGTAAGTACCTATGGTAGATTGAAGATATTATGTTGTATATTAGATATACGATATTTGAACCTAATCTATTAAGATATTTCCCTTGAGAAAATATCCCAAGTTATTTATATCTAACATTTGTGTTCGAGACGTAGAACTTATTACTTGATAACATTATTGCTTCGCTACATGGAGGTTTGGGTTAGGATTGAAGAATATTTTTTATTAGACAATGAAAGAAATTATAATATGTAGATCTTTAATTTCATGTCTTGCAGAAGTTATATAGATTTTCTTTCTCATAGATATTTTTATACAGAATTATTATTTTTAACTAACGCTAAAAGCATTTTAAATAAAATTAATTATCTTTTCGGATTTTATCACGGATTTAATTTGAATTTTGGTTCCCGACGTTTCGAATGCCTTACCGCAATCATGATCACGGGAGAGACTAAACTTTCCGTAAGACGTTACGTTAAGGTAAGACGTCTCAAAGATCATTATAATTAAAATTAACAAATATTGTAAGGTACTTTGCTGCCATTTTTGAATTTTTGAATTCATTTTGTAATTATAGTTGAGCATTGTCTGTAACAACTATATAATGACATTTAACATGTCTGAACGCTTAGTCTCTCCCGTGACCATGATTGGTGTAAAGCATTCGAAACGTCGGGAACCAAAAATCAAAATAAATCCGCGAAAAAAACCGTAAAGATAGTTTTATTTAATATGACGCGTAAATCTAATAATAAGAAAGTATAATTGAATGCTAAAAGCATTTAAAATGACGGTGTCATTATTATTATTTCAAGTAAATTATTCATCTATACTATAATATTATAAAGAGGCAAAGTTTGTGAGTTTGTGATGTTATGGTGTTGTAGGGGGTAATCTCTGGATCTACTGAACCGATTTAGATGAAATTTGGAAAGAAGATAGTTTGAGACCCTGGGAAGGACTTACTACTATTATAGGTACTTTTTATTCCGAATATCATCCCCTAAGAGGGTGAAAATGGCGATGAAAGTTTGTATAGGGAATCAATCTAGGGAGTAGGGACGAACCCGAGCAAAGCGAGGGTGAGTCGCTAGTTATTGTAATTGAAAATTGAAATTCAAAAGAATGGCTTCATATGTATTACTAACAGCCTTTTCCAGTTTCTTTACATGCGTATACGTACAGTACTAATTTGGTATAAAACGCTGTTATTAATGTATTGAAAGTAAATAATTTAATATTTGAGTAAGAGTCGTATATCATTTTGCTCTCCGCTTTCTGCACAAGTTGTTGGATGGCGGTTATAACGTCGCATTATATCTTAAGATGCCAACCGTTAAGGGGTTGTCCATTAATCACGTGAGGCTTGGAAGGGGGGGGGAGGGGTTTGATAAAAATCACGAAAATAACACAAGGGGGAGGGGGGGGGGGGTGTAGTAAGATATCTCGTGTATTTATTTTTTCGTCAAACACCTGCAAGACGCTTATCCAGTTGTTAGTGTTGAAGAATGTCTTGCTAATCCGTGGTTCGAGGACAATATACATTAAATATATTCATGTACTAGTACAATACATGTTTTTCCTATGATTACACTCTTCGTTTATTATCATTGTTATGGCAATAAAAAAAAACTTGCAACCTGGTGTAGACATTTTTATTATGGTTCTTAATTTCAGAATAAAATAAGATTATAGTTTAATACAGTACAATAAATACAGGTATTTAAATTAAGATAATATTCAGAAAATTTTAAGATTCGTTGTAGGTACTAAAAATACACGTGATGTTGAGAAGGGGGAGGGGGGGTGGTCTTAAACCTCACTACGTATCACCAATGGGGGAGGGGGGGTTAAAAAATGCTAAAAAAAGATCACGTGATTAATGGACACCCCCTAACAGAGTCCATAACCGTCGTTAGAATTCTAAAGGTTTTTTTAAGAGTTGCATTCGTATATTAAGTCTTGTATCGATTTTAAATTCATCATTAGTAAAATTATTTGTATTATTTATACTTCTTAGAAAAAAATATTCTCAAAAAATCCAACTGGATTTATAAAGATTTAATCTGCTAATTACTTCTGTATAACAAATATATTCTACATTAAGTATCATATCTCCTTCAAGCAACGTACCATTTAGCAATGAGCCATACAACGTCACACCACTCACTTAATCATATAACAACAAAGGAACTGTGCTCCAAGTTGACACAAATGTGAGCTGTACTGCGGCTGGCGCTTATCTAGACCTAAATACCAAGGTTTTCCACTCGCAGGTCGCAGCTGTTAACGAGCTAGCGTGACTTGCAATGGTCAGTCGAGCGCAACTTGTCTGTAAAAATAAGATTATACGTATATACTCGTAGTCTAGTTTGTGCCCGCAGTTTTGCTCGCTAAGTATATATAAAATTGCTCTGCTACTTAGGGTAGTAGAGCGATGTTATAACTGTATATATTTAGTGTTTCAACATACTATAGTTTTAATATATAGCTAATTAGCATTGTCCGCGGCTCCACCCGCGTTCAGATTACCAAAAACCAAATTCTAAGGTTTTACATATTAGTATACTTTTACGTTGCAGTTATTGTAGTTTTTCTCAGAAATGAGATACTTTCCCGCGGTGTAAAGTGTCCTATGTGTTGACCCGGATAAACAGCTATCATCATACCAAATTTCATTAAAATCCCTCCAGTGGTTTTTGCGTGATGCGGTAAAAGACAGACAGACAAAAATTTTGAAATCTATAGATTCTGACTCTGTATCGATAATAATGTCTATTTCAATCAGATTTTCCAAAAAATATTTAATGTACAGATTTGGCTTAATTACAATTTTATTATATTTTATTATATGGAATGAGCAAACGTAATTCATTGGTAACTCGTTCGCTTGAAAATCCAAACGAAATTTAGTAAGAAACCACTTTTATACATACCGTGATAAAAATTAGCCTATGCCACTCCTGTCCAAATACTATTTCTCTAAAATTTGGACGAACCACATCGATCCGGTTACGTGAAAGAAAGAAAAACCAGCAAGCACTAATATTTATTTCAACTATTAGGATGGCGGAGAAGCTTATTGTACTGAACTACTGTTAACCCGTTGAGACTCACTGAGACGATGTTCTTAAATTTTTTAATAAATTTGTTTGTGTTATTTATTTCATGCAAAAATGATAAAGAAAAAAGCACTTCCAAAATCCTACAATATTTAAAAAAAACTTTCAAATCCAACTTTAGAAACGTACATACATACATACATAGACTGATAAACACATTACCCTCCTTTGCAGTTGGGTAAAAAACCTTTAATACGAGCATTTTAGATTTTAGAACAGCATACCATTTTTATGTGACTTTGTATGTATAGGAAGGTTTAACGTTGGTTCCAAGAATATAAATTTATCCGCTTTTACTCGTATATCATTTTTCTGTAATTGTGCGGAAAATCTATGTTTTTATTATTTATAAAAAAACATTGTACAAATGTCGACTTGTTATTAGCCATTGTTCCGTAGTATTCTTTAATTGTTTGCTTTTCATTGTTTCATGTTAAATACTCATTTGCAACTTGTTTATAAAATGCACTCTGTTCTTCGCCGAGTTAAGCGATATTCCTATTAGTTGATTTGATTCTCGTTAATACGAATACTCATACATAAAATATATAAACGTATGTATGTATGTCACATATTTGTATGATAGATATTATTATATTAAAGTTTTTTTTTTTAAATAAGAGTGGACTATAGATATCTATGTTTGTTGACGTAATTCGCGTTGGTATATATATACTCTGCGTGAGTTTTACATAAGTATACTCGTAAATTGGTAATTAATAAATAATAACACCAATTCGTCCATTAATTTACTTCAATGCTATGTATAAAAATATCTTATTTACTTTTTAAATAACAAGTACCTTGATCACTCAACGTTCAATAATCGACGCGACATTTACCTATTGAATAAAGGTACCTATAGAACACTATAGAAGGACAGGGAAAGTAAAAGTGTTCCATAGTATAACATACGATTGTGTAACTAATGGTTTGTTGTATAAAGCGGGTACGTGTTTTATATTTACAGTCTTCAATTATAGGTTTCGAAGTGATACTATTTTTTGCTAGTAATGTTTCTAAGCCTATTGTTTGATTACATATGATCTATGAGAGATTTGAGGAAGATTTATATTCATTTGATGTGGCAGTGCAAGATTATCATATTAATCATAATATTATCTATTTCGTGTTTACAACAATATTAAAGAAAAGTACAAAATGTATATATCTTTATATATATAATTCTTCTGTGAGTGTGTATGTCACTGAACTTCTCTCAAACGACTGGACCGATTTTGATGATTTTTTTTGTGTGTGTTCAAGGGGATCTGGGAATGGTTTAGATTGACAATTTGAATAAAAATTTTCATCAAAAAAATTATTAAAAAAAGTTTGAAATTTTCAAATTAACGACGTGTAGACAGGACAACGTCTGTCGGGTCCGCTAGTATATATATATATATATATATATATATATATATATATATATATATATATATTATGTATACCCATTTATTACTTCCAAATTGGCTATTAACTGCCTGCTAGTTCTAAAACTTTTCTGCAGCTGCAAAACTCCCGTTTTGTTACAAGCATTGTTTATAAAATGAATGAATTTAAAGAGTTGTCTTTGTCATTGAAAATGTATGAAATTTTTAATTGAGTTATAATTGTAAAATTGAACTATTCAATCTATAGTTTTATTTAGATACAAATGTTGTTTGCTGTATATTTTATCTCCATGCAAATTGTCTCTCAGAGAATTTGTCCTGGTATGTTAAAACGCGGCGATCGATGTCCATTCAACGGTTAGTGTAATTAAGACCGATGGAAAGTAAAAAACTGAGTGATTAGATACTGTTATTTCTCAAGTTGGCTATTGATTCTTATAATTATATCTGCACAGGTATACTCACGCCGTTTTGACTGCAGGTAAACCGGAGAATGTGTGTATATGTAGTGTGTACCTATACAGTTTTTAACTGTTCGTTCGGGCTTATCAAGTCGGTTTACCTACCTTACGTAACCTTTATGTTACATTTCCGTTTTCCATTATAAAAATTTTTAAACAATATAATTTTGTTATAGCAACGAGTGGGTCTGGCAGTGGGCCAGGCGGTGGCGACTCGCGCCGCGGGGACGTAACACCGCACGCGCCACCGCAGCGACGCCTCATCAAAGTGGACTTTGATAATCTTGAGGTTTGTTTAATATCATTGAATTACTATTGTGTATATATGCGAAAGTCTATGTGTATGTTTATTACTTTTAAAATTTAGTAGGTACATAATATGTATATTGTATATAGATATGCTTTGGCAGCAACAGTAGTTGGGTACCTAAAACGCACACGGCCAAATTGAGGGTAAACATCAAAACTCTGTCAAGCCTGAGGAGTCCGACTGGATGGGTACCACCCCCTTATCTATTTCTGCCGCCAAACAACAATTATTACATTGTTGTGTTCCGATTTGAAGGATAAGGTAGCCAGTACAATTACAGGCAAGAGGCATATCATCTTAGTGCTCATAGTGACAACGCACCCGCGATTCTGTATTTCTGTAACATAAAACCTAAGTGCATGAACCATAGGTGTTATGGGCGACAGGTACAGGCTTTCCATCAGGTGGGCTGTCTGCTCGTTTGTCACTGAATACCATAAAAAATATATAACAAATATAATGTAAACTCGAAAATCCATCAAAATAGTTTCAGCGGTTTTAGGATAAGCCTGAAAACAGGAAGGCTTTTGAACTTCAATCTTTACTTTTATAACAGTTACATTAATTAAACGACTCCAAAAAGGAGAACGTACTCAATTTGGGTGCATATTTTTTATGTTACACGTAACAAGATATCTTCGCTTATTGCGAAATGATTTTTATATATTAACTTCCATAAAAAACTTTTACCTACAAGGGTAAGTTAATAATTACCTTTAAAGTGTAAAAAGCCTTTATATCTTTTCCGTTAAAAATTATTGTGTACATATGTTTTAATTAAGTAAATTAGATTATGAAACACTACCTTATTTTGCATTTATCTTTATACCATTATTTTATATGCTTATACAAAAATTCATACGACAAATGTATGTCAGGCATAAAGAAAAAGAACCTGCCAAGGTATTCCATTAAAAATTTAGCAAATCTTACACAAATAAGTTTAGTTAATCAAAGTAAAACATTTAAGTCTCCATGTGTCAGCGAAAAACCTCAACAGAAAAGGTTAGCCGATTTAAAAATGCTCATTTCTTTGTCTTTTTATACCCTCTTTATAATTAATGTATGTATGTATTCAGCCCGCCCTTTTTAACGTCCCACTACTGGGCACGGACCTCCCTTCGATAAGAGGGGGATCAGGCCATAGTCCACCACGCTGGCCAAGTACGGGTTGGCGGACTTCTCATGTCTTTCGGAAACTTGCTAGCTTCTCTCAGACATGCAGGTTTTCTCATGATGTTTTCCTTCACCGTAAGGCAAGTGTTAAAAATGATTCGCACATGAAAATATCAGAGGTGCGAGACCGGGATTTGAACCCGCTTCACTCGGTTTCCCAAGTGAGCGCGTTACCACTGGGCTACCACTGCCTATAATTAATACATATAAATTAACAAAATACTGTATAATATGATACAACAGCTTTAGTTACTCAAAGGCTTTGGTATTTGCAGGCAAATGACAGCTTTATATTATGACGAAAAATCTGAAACATAATATATTTACCAATACAGATAATTCCAGTAGGTAGTAATCAGTTACACTTCACTAATTGAATATTGCTTAATACTCGAGTATTTGAAGTGAAAATTCTGAACACGTATGTGTTAATTATACCTTGATTATAGAAAATTGTAATTTTACGGTGTGTTGTTACGGTGTATGTATGTTTTAGATAACAGAAAGTTGTTTGTTTGGTAGGTATATGCTGTTATTAGTGTTCTTTGTTTAAATAACTAAGATATTTATTTTAATTATTGTCACAATATTATTATTTCAATGCAAGTTTATTTATACATATATTTTCATTATGTCTATACATATAATAAAATTCTAACTGAGTCGAATCTGTACATTAAATATTTTTTGGAAAATCTTATTGAAATAGTCATTATTATCGTTACGGAGACCATATCTATAGTTTTAAGAATTTTTGTCTGTCTAGGAACGTATCACGAGAAAACCGCTCAACAGATTTTGATGAAATAGCTTGTCATCCGGGTCAACATTTAGAACATTTTTCAGTACGGGAAATATCTCATATCTGAGAAATCTAGGTATACTAGCCATTAAAACGTACCTAGTGACGAACCCGAGCGGAGCAAGGGTGAGTCGCGAGTATACAAAAAACTCATAAAAGCCTGCCAAGCTTTATACGTACGTCGAGTTAAATTCTTCGTTAGGTATTTTATTCATTGTTACGTAATTTCTTCCTATTTATTATCTAATGAAAAACGGTATTAACTTAAACATTTAATTTAATGTTATTTTCATTTAATTTAATATATATTCGGATTTTAATATATTAATTTAATATATATTCGGAATTTAATATATATTCGGAGAATTCCTGTCTCTTTTCAACAAGAGAAAAAGCGTAAAGTATGTAAAAAGCGTGATATGCATTATACAAACCTTTTTGTCTTAGAATACGTAAATATTTAAAAGTTAATAACATTCATATAGCATAGGCTTTAATATACTTTAAGTTTTCTTTATAAATATAAAAATCAGAAATTTAAATATATTTAACAGACCATATAAGTCTGTAATTTCTCTGTAAGTGAATTTTTTAATTCTTTTGAGAAATAAATGTCTTAAACCATAACAGACGCTAGATTACTAGAATTAATAAAATACTTTAAATGAAATATAAACTCTGAGTGACGCGATGTGCAAAAGAAATAAAACTTTAAATCACTCTGCTGTATTTGTACGTGCTACAAAGCCGCCTACATCAATCAATCAAATAAAAATTGCTCCGTTTTTATTTCTATTTCGCCTCGGGCAATACTTCATAGCTTCGAGAAGGCCTCTGTAAGAGCAGTTATGTTAAAAGTTATAGTTGTTTATTAATTAGGAAGTTGGCATTAATCAAAAATAAAAATATCAAAGATAAAAAGAAATTCAAACGAAAAATTATATTTTTTTTTGTTTTAAATTCTTTAAATATCTTTACTAATATGTATTATAAATGTTAATGTCGTTGTACAATTAAAAAAAATCTATAAAATGAAAAAAAAATTCTATCAAATATATAAATAAAAATAAAGATATTTTTATTTAAATATTATAGTCAGGTATTATGTAGGTTGTGGCGGATATTAGGTCTATAACAATAAAAAATGCATCCGCGTTCAAGTCGATGACTTATTTTTAACAGCCAGTGTTGCGTGAAATAGTTAATTATATTTTTTTTAATTAAGCTATTTTAATTTTCTTAACACTTTCTTTTCTTAAATTTCATATTACATGTTAGTTTTTTATTCTATATCTCTTAGGACTTTTTCAAAATTATTTGTAGTAACAATATTACTTTCAGCTATTTGTTGAAGTAACATTTTATATGTTCTAAAAAAATACCCACCTTTTTTAAATATTTAAACATATTGCTATCTATTATCTCAATGATTGTGTTTGAAACTAACGGTTAAAGAATATCCTGCAGAAAGTGAACAGTTACACTTGAACAAACACTTGCAAGGTGACCCACTTTTGTTGCCATACTTACAATGTATATATATATTTAAAAAAAAAGAAATATAGGAAAATAACATGAAAATATTTTGCTTCATTCGATTATCTGGCTTCTATTACTTATGTGAAAGTTTGTATATTTGTGTTTTTATTTGTTATTCATTCACGTTAAAACTGCTGAACGGATTCAGATGATATTAAGTATACAGATAGGCGTTGACTTGGAGTAACACATAGGCTACTGTTAGGCACCTAAGAACATACCAGAACCTAGCAAGGTTAAGTCGCTAGTAAAATATATACTATGTTAGTAGGCGACTCACCCTCGCTTCGCTCGGGTTTGTCTCTAGCTTGTTTCCCAATTAATACAAATTTTCATCCCCATTTTCATTCACCCCGCTAAGGAATGATTTCCGGATAAAAAGTATCCTATATCCTTCTCAGGGTCTCAAACTATCTTCTTACCAAATTTCATCTAAATCGGTTCAGTAGATCCAGAGATTATCTCCTACAACCTCACAAACTCACAAACTTTACCTCTTTATAATATTAGTATAGACTAGCGTACTCCATAGATAAATCGATTAATTAAGTAATTCCTGAGATTATCGCGTTCAAAAAAAAACAAACAAACACTGCCTTTTTATAATATTAGATGTCCGTTACAGTAACTGTAACTTTTAATTGTGTTATAATGTATAAAGTGTTATAATCGTAACTTTTGTTACGTGATATTATAGCTTTATAAAAAAATGTTCACACGACGATAGTTATTTCACTTATTTAACAACACAGGATTAAGATAAACTTAAAACAAAAGTATCACAAGGTGACTTTTGGGTCATAAAATTATGCGCTAACCAATATTTACACAAATCGTTAAAAATGCACAATGTTGATATAAGGTAGTCGAAGAATATTATGTTACATTTTCTTATATGGTTTCTTTTGTATATTAATTACATAATAAGGATCTCAATAATTTACAATCCAGATAGGACCTACATATTTGTTCTTTAGGTTTGCTATATTTAGTCTTGAAAAGAGTACATAAGGTGATATGTGTCTATACTTCAGTCTTTTTTTATTTTATTTTTATGTTGGGAAATGCATTTACGTATACCACTTGTATACATGTAGGTGGTTATGTGGGACTCACCGGGTAGAAAACCCAGTACTACTCACTTAAACCCAACAAAACCTCTTCCGTCTTATGGGGCATCGCAGGATTACTTACGCACTCAACCACGATGCCCCGACGGCCTGCCGAAGCAGACCACAACAACCATAGGGTTGCTCCAAAGTCCACTCTGCTATCAGAGAAGTACCAGGAGCAACACGCATGGCACACCGCCCACCGAGGTGGGCCGCCTCCCTTTTACATATCTACATATATTCGAACCAAATCCATTTAGTTTCCTCAAATAATTTTAGTGCGGCGCTTTCCTTCCAATAGATTTATACCGATCAAACGAACACTAATTCGATTACACCCAAACGCATTT